ATGAAAAACAACTAAATAAAATTAATCTGGTTTTTTTTTTTTTGTTTTTTTTGCTTTGATTGCAAAAGATTTTCGATCACTGTTTTAATCATCTTTTTTTAAAATTCTGTTCCGGCTTTTGCTTTTAATGTAAAGCGCAAGAGGTTTACAGCATTCTGCGCTATATAAAACGAATTTATTAATACAGTACTATAAACCAAGCTTGAATTGGCATTAATAGTAACTTTTTAGTCGTACTGTGGGTACTAGAACTGAACTTTATCACTATTTTAGATTACGTGCCTTTTCACATTTTCCGGTCAGCATGAATATCCATAATAATCGGAATAATGAATAACCATAATAATCGGAATAACATAACATTATATTTGTCATGTTTTAGTGGCACAAAAATCATCTGTCCTTGGTTTTTGAGGTTTTCGTTTTCAACTTAATACCGGTAATTATTCCCGTTTCTGGTGAATGATAATAATAATAATAATTTTAGATTGTTTTACCTCTTCCACAATCAATACAATATCTGTTAATGCGTAATTGGCCCATTTAACACATATTTGTGCTATTTTAACGATTTCTTGGAATAATCTATTCGTGCATAAAGTCATCATGCCTAACTCCCACCCTAAATCACTAAGAAATTAAATAGTTTGAAAATGGTGTGGCCGATCCCAAAGGTGAAGATGAAGGGTTTAATGATTAGTGAAGGGCGTTAACTGGTTAAATAAGATAGTAGGAGGTTACTTAATTACTTTAGCGTATTTTTTGTACGCGAGCTTCTTATGCGAGGGTGTGCGCTCTCGCGCATTCTTGATACACCAGTAGGGAATAACATCCAAATTTTAGAGAGAAAAAGGAGTATACTACTTTTATTGCTACATTTTAATTTATACAAGATTTATTTATTTATTTCTTGTATAACCTGGGTTAACAACTCAGTTGAAAACCAACTGTTATCCTTATGTGCCCAGGATACGATACAAAAAAAAATAATCCTAATGTACTTACTTTAATAATAACACTGTAATTCATAAGAACAACATTAATGACAATAATAATAATAATGATAATAATAATAAATAAATAATAATAAAAATAACAACAATAATTATAATCATTATTATTACATTAATAGAATTAAGTTAATCCAGCAATTAAACTGCTGAGTTAATTGTTTTAACTGCCTTCTAATACAATAATACATAAGAACATTAATAATAATAATAATAATAATAATAATAATAATAACATTAAATAGGATTAAATATGCCAACAATTACAATGCTAAGTAAATTGTTTAACTGTCAGCTAATACTATACGGTAGGAACAACATTAATAATAATAATGAAGATCATAATATTACATTAATAAGATAAACTAAGCCTACAGTTGAGAAGTTAAATAAATTATATTAACATTCATCTAATTTTTAACTTTATTAACCACTTTTTATTTTATAAACTGTTTTGTTTATTAGTGAAAAGGAACATAATTTAATAAAATAAAGGGGAAAAAAGCAAGATTGATTTGAATTCATCTACTCCCTTGGGCAGAGTTCCACAATTTAGTTCCTCTGAATTTAAACATCCTTCTGCCTGACTGTTGTTTCTGGATAGAAAGTTTCAAATTACCTCTAGTACTTCCCCTAGTATTGTGAGAATGAACTCTGCCCAATGGAGTAAAGACGTCAGAAAGGTAGTGGGGAACTCTGCCATCCAAGTATTTTTTTAACTAAAGCGCGAGTGTGGGAATCTCTTCTTAAAGATAAATACTGCCAACCCAAAGTTTTATGCATAGGCCTATCAACAATTCTTGTTTTGTGTCTGGCCCTGAGGATCTGTTTGGCCGCTCTGTGTTGTAGTTTATGTAATTTATCACTTAATCCCACCCCGAAATTTCCCCAGACGTCGGCGTAGTCGAACAAAGGCATCACTAATCCTCTGTAAATATAATTATGTGCATTAACGTTAAAGTATCTTCTAATTCTTCCTACCCCAATCCTACTAGATATATGTTGACACATATAATCGATATAATCTGTTCATGAAAGGGAGGGGTCTAGCCAAATTCCCAAGTATTTATATTTGGTAACATTTTGGATGGCAGAGTTCCCGATACTTAATTTAATCTCATTAGTTTTTTAATAAAGTTAAAGTTATTTTTTAATCTAATTTGTGTTCCTTATCCTATGATGCTTATCGATATTACAGCAATTTCAAGATTAGTGTTATTAACAGTTTCTTCACAATAACGTGTTTTCTTTTTAATTTTATGACGATAAATATGTGTTTATAGTTCTCCATTTTATGCGAAATTAATTTTCGTTCAATTATATATTCGTTTTAAACCTGAAAAAAGCACCACCCTCAAATATAACGCGCAACAAAAATTTGAACAGTAAGCAGTGCTGTAATGTAAATCGCTGTCCACACACCTGTATCGAAAGTTGATGAAACAGATATTTGATTTGCCCATATATCGGCATGACGATGCCATACCACACCCATATAAGCAAATCACAGGTATTTGCCACAATACAAACCTTGATAATGTGGACACAGAGCTTAAGGTAAATTGTTGAAAAGGAAAATAATATAGGCTTTTATAAAGCTTTGTCTACACTATCAAATTTCATCAAAAAAGCGTCACATAAAATTTGATGGAACATGGAGTTGAACACGTTAAACTTTTTTTTATACAATTTGATAATATATGATATGACGTCATCGTACCCATATATGGGCACATCACATTTTTTGTCACATAAAATTTGATAGTGTAGACAATGCTTAAAGGTAGGCCTTACAGTTGTCTATTGTAATGTTTCATGACGTACTTTTGCAGGCGGATATCCGTGAGACCATCAGACCGTGTCGTGCAGGTTATGATAGCATGACGAACTTTGACCAATTCTCTTTATTCACGCTGAGCTGTAGTTTCAGTTTAACCGTTTCTCCAAAGCAAATATAAGCCTTTCCCATTAAAATATAAAACTACACATAAATGCTAGACCGACAGAGGTCCTAAATTGTTGGAAGTTGTTTATTAACAATGCATAGTCGTTAAGGCAGATATAAACGTCTGTATACCGGTAGGTCCTTAAATTTGCCGGTAACAATTTAAGAATTTTTGTAGCAAAAGTTCGGTAAGTTAGAGATCATTGGCTTTTCCCAGCACTACCTGGAAGAGCCATTGTTTTTGTTCTGATATTTTTTATTTTTTTATTTTTTTTGGCTTTTCTCAGCAGGAGCTGGAAAATCCATTGCTTTTGTTATGATTTTTTTTTTTCTCATATCAAAGTAAAGTATTCTTTATTCTTACTTGTTTACTTGTTTCCCAAGAGAGTCTTCTGTAATCTGGGTATAGAGGCCAAGTAAAACGATGCTTATAGACCCCTCGAAAAAACTGAGTATTTAAAATTTAACATAGGGCGCAAATTTAAGCGGACGGTCAGCTAAACTCAATTGCAGATTTAACTAAATTATATTGAGGTAGAGTTAACGTCTTCGTTCGATAAAGAATTCCACAGCCGGACTGACATAAATGAAAAAGCGTGACTTCTGATACGTGTCCTAACAGTGCTGATGTTTGATCTTAAAGGAGTAACCTCTAGTTTTTGCACCTTTATCAAACTCAACAAATAAATCAGCCGAAACCTTGTTAAGTTTGGGGTCATTTTAAGTGCTAACGTCCAAGACCAAATATCTCAAAAACTTACCAAGGGACCAAAATAAAACTTTACAGAATGGTTTGTCATGGTCCATTAAAAAAATGATAACATTTTGGTGACAACCCGGAGGAGGATGTGGACATGAGACTGTTGAAACTGACCTAACGCAGGGTTGGCGCGTAATAGCACGCAATGTTTATGAGTCTCCATCATCCTCGCTATTACCATTGTAGCTTTAGTTTGGGTTTTACTAACGTCAAGTTAGTTTCCTTGTTATTTCTTAACTTGAACTTTTTTTTTAGAAATAGCTGTTGTTTTTTGTTTTTTTTGTCTTTTGTAGGGTTATCCCACTTTTATTTCTTCTCACATTTCATCATTACATAATTTACAATTAATAGGTTTTATGTTGTACTGTGAAATAACCAATATGAGTATTTACAGAGTAAAAAATCACTTTTCTTTAAAATGGGTCAGTCCATCGTGATGGCTAACTATTATTTCGTTATAGGCATAGATTTTCATAGTAATGTACGACATTTAAACATATGTTTTCAATGCGTTCATTTTATATGTATATTTTCCAATTATATTCTACAAATAGCCGTTGTTTTTGTTCTAATTTATATTTTTCTTCCATCTCGTTTTCCTATTTTTTTTACGAGAGTTTTTCTGACCGGCACTCGTCACTTTCCGCACTTGAGTCTTCTTCAAACATTGCCCAAGCAAAGACCATATCAACGATATGCATATCAAAATTTGACATTATTCTGCATATTTTGAATATTAATAGCAGTTATAGTTGAGTTTCCTTGACATCGAGTTGGTTTTCATGTATTTTAACTTCATAATTTTCTTCATTTTCTGTATGATTTCATTTTTGTTTTTCGTGTTTTATTTTACGCTAGACTTTCTAAATGATTATTATGTTTTATTTTAAAAAATTTCAACATCACTTCCTATTATGGCAATGAGGAAAAGCCCTTTGTTCTACAAACAGACATAGTCTAGTTGTTCTGTTTTCATAAGGCCTAAAAAATAAATTGTTGGTTTGCCCTTCTTTTTTTTAAATGATAAAAAGGGGTGGATGGAAAAGGTTTGCGGGTGGAGGAGGGCAAACAAACGATTTGTTTTGGCCTAATTTTGCGCGCCTTTTTTGAAATGAATTGTTCATTTCTTTGATTGAATTTGTGAGGTTTTCCCATGTCGTATGTTTTTTTGTTGTTGATTTTTTCTTATCTGTAGAGGCCTATCTATGATAATTCGAGGTTTGTGTGTTGACAATGTGTAAATGTGTGCTTGGTTTTTGTTTAAAAACAAGTTTGAAGACCAGACTTCACTAATAAGTAAATAAAAACTCAATCTTTAATACAGTATAACTCGCATACAAAAATAACACATTTATCTTTTGTAGATTTTACATAGAAATATGTAGGCCTACGTGAACCCTGTCTCCTACTGGTTGTGAATTGGCCTGATATATATGTATTATTCGAAGTTAGGCCTAGTTATCGTTTGCTAATTTTAATCGGGAGCCATTACAAGATCGGGCTGTAGCCTATTATCATGCTTGTTTTCTAGACTAAACATTAGCCTAGCCTCTGGGGTTATTTTCTGTGCACACACAGTAAATGACTTTTACTGTACATGTGCTGTACAGGATTATCAAATATTCATTCATATAGGCCTAACAATCATTTGTACATTGTACTGTAATAGATATTCAATCACGACCGTAATATTTTATATTATTAATAATTCCACTTCGGATTAAATGAATTGCAATATAAAGAAGGGCTGATATCCCTATAACTAAATACAGATACGCATGCATTATATTATAAATCAATAAATAATATAGATAACTAAATATTAAAAATTGGCATAATTGTGCATAGGCCTAATCAAAACTAAAAAAAATCATATATTTTTATTAAGTACATAAGCCGTCTTGCAGCTTGAAGTGCGTATGCGTATTTTAAAGGTAAAAGTAATTTGGACAACCATACCGTGTGAATTTTACGTAGGCCTAAATTTTTTCACAGTGAAGATTGATAGGCATATAGCCTATCATTATCCGGCTATTATGCCGTAAACATCAACAATAAACTACAGTACTGCTCAAATATTATTTATTCATTTATTTATTTTAAAGGTATATAACGCCTTTAATTTCGAATACTGTAAGAAGCACTTACGTGATATATTCATTTTTCATTTAATGTTGTCATTGTATCTATACGGACGTTACATTCACGTTGAAAAATGTGTGTATGACAATAAATATTTTGACAAAGACAAACTGTCGGGACAAGTCACCGAGACCCGAGACACACTTCGTGCAAGTAGGCCCGCTACCCGCTGTCAAACCTTAGACAGATGGAAATTTAGCACAGTACAGTAACACCCAGACTTGAAAGTCAAGCCGATACCGCTATGGTTATATGTAACTATCATATTATTATTACGGTAACCATCTATAAATATCCCCTACAAAGAATAAGTACAATCGATTTATCTTTCGGTTGATCGCATGTCAACCTAGGCAATGTTGTTATATTGTTCATTTGCTTCGTACCGGCGTCTACTGCTATGATTTGATTGGACCATCGGTCGTCTGAGTGCCAACTTGGTGCCGCCGATAATGACATCACATGTTACGATTTCTTTTCAACAACAGTCTCAAGGAGACTGTAGAGGAATTGCGACAAAGTCTGTTTCTATTGCACCAGAATGATCCTTTTCGCAAGTTGCCGCCAATATCGGTTGCTTCTCTTTTACTGCCTGTGCGTACGACGGGGGTAAAATCTCATTTGGAAGCGCAAATGCATGTACGCTCCTATCACCGTGGGTTTGACTGTTCGCAATGATACGGAGTGGCGTACCGGGCGGTCGTACAGTTGTTTGATAACTAGGTTGGTTTTTATTTCTTTTAACGAACTTCTTTGATTCGTCTGTTACCGCACACAGTGCCCATCCGTTCATGAAACTAAAGAAGATCAGATACGCGTAGAAACATCCTATTGAAAAGCTACTTAACTGCGATTTCATTGAGTATGTCTGCATAATGGTTGATAGTAAATACATCAGCGGAATTACACCGTTGAAAAATACGGTGAAAATCGTATTCATAACAACCACAACGCCGTATTTACGGCAACACGGCGTTTCATTGTTCCAATAGTTTTTCATGAGAAACTGGACCTGATTCGTCGATCGGCTGCCCTGTGACGTCATCACTATAAGTCCAATGAACGGTTCCTCTTTGACGTATAATGCGACGACAAATGCCGTAATGGCGACCACATCGTAAACGATATCAACTGATCGATTTGGAGATTTTACTAGAATGTTCATCACCAGCATGAAGATGAAGACACCGAGGGCCACGCTGAAGGCAGCTTGAATCTGTACTTCAGCCGTTTTCAACCGATTGGTTAGGACGCCCGAGGTGAACGTTACAGCCACCGCAAGTGTTGGCAAAGCTAGGCCTACGAATGTATCCAGATACCTGTAAACGAAAGATGACCAAGATTTGATTATCAAATATATCAATTATTCTTTAATTATTCTTAAAAAACACAATGAATATATCGCCTTTGAATCTAAAGGTATACATATTTTTTTCTGATAAGGTAGATCCAAGTCATACCAAACGTAGAGTACGCTGAATATATTAGCATCAGATATAAAATCTAAAATAAGAATGTTTGCCGAACGGACTCCAATAATAATAATAATAATAATAATAATAATAATAATAATATTATTATTATTATTATTATTATTATTATTAATGTATGTAAAATTAAAAATGAAATACCATTATTAATATTATTATATTAATTATAATAAATAATAAATAAATTTATATTATTATTATTAATAGGCCTAGGCCTATTAATAATAAATAGCGATAAATTATATTAGTTAATAAATAACAGTATTATGGTAATTAATTAAATTATATAGATCATCATCATCATTGGGATAACATATTTATGAGTTAATCATCAAGGCCTAAAACAATATAGCTTTGTAATATAAATTCAGACAAATTTAGATACAAAAACTCACGTAATTCTTAATTTCGCTGCATGGCCTTTGTGAAAAGTAACAAGCTCTGTTGACTTTTTTCCCCATCGATTCAACACATTTTCGATGACATCGTAGATAGCGAAATAGAGAAAAGCTAACAGGTTTACAGTAACTGAAACGACGAGCCCGACCGTGATAACCGATTGAGTCACCATTTTTTCTGAAGAGCAAACAAAATGACTCTAATCCGTTCTTCTAAATTCAAATGAAAAACAACCATAAGAGTGTTCTTTATATACCACGCCACAACAGTTCGGGGAATTCCATCGTAAAAACCTTAATTCATTCAAAGCCAATAACACAGCGCGTGGCAGTATTTGTTTGATGAGGTCATCGGAAGAAGGGAATTCCCCGTATTGATTTCGAAACTGCCTATACTGCGTGTGTGAAATTTCCCCCATTTTAATAAACCGGATTTTCCTAACATTTTAATTCATTTGATTTGGCTCTTGACCATTACATTTTCACTATAAAAGAGGAAAACATTTTTTACGATAAAAATATATAGGCTATAAATAAACTTTTAAAAAAAAACGAAAAAACAAAAACAAACCAAAAAAAAAAACTTGATTTAATTGTTGATTGACGAGATGACTTATTTTTACCATGTGTTTTACATACACCAAAATAAGCATATATATTTTTTCAAAATTATAAAAATGAAGAAATAAAGAAAATTATATTAAAATTTAAGTATGAGAGTGCCATTTCCCGCCACCTAGAGGTGCAAAAATCATATTTTTTTTCTTTCCTCTGCCCCAATCATGGTTGGACCATTATCTTTGAAGGTCTCTCCCTTGGCCCCCCCCTCAGTTTCGAATTCCTAGATCCACCACTGGATGACACAAAATTTAGCTGTTGGTAAATAATAAAGAATATTATGTTAAAATAAATATGCGAATGCCATTTTCGGCCATCTAGAGGTGCCAAAATCATATTTTTTTCTTTCCTCAGCCCCAACCTTGGTGGGGGCTGAGGTCTAGCTTGGCTCGCTATCTGCGAAAGTCCCTCCCAGGGCCCCTCAATTTCAAATTTCTGGATCCGCCACTGGATGACACGATGTTTAGCTAACTGGTAAATAACAGTGTGCTTCGACGTTAATACAGTACTAGACTAGTTAATAGGGAATTTTCGATGCACAACGTTAACCTTAACTAATGACGGAAACTGATATCTGATGATGTCTTCTAGAATATGCGCTGTCTCTTATACACATCTAGATGTGTATAAGAGACAGAGTGTGGGCCACCAGCGGACCGACATTTAGCCATTGTGGACAAGAACAGAGACCTACATCTGAGTGCAGTGAGGACATTTGGTAAAGGACCTCGCATTGTTAAGCTGGGTAATGAAATTGTTATTTTACATTTTATTCTGCTGCAAGTAACTACATGCTCATTCCATGCCAAATCACCTAGAAGTCCCTAGGAAGGTAGCCCCAAGTAACAATATAAATATGTACACCTGTCTCTTATACACATCTAGATGTGTATAAGAGACAGGCCTATACTGCGTGTGTGAAATTTCCCCCATTTTAATAAACCGGATTTTCCTAACATTTTAATTCATTTGATTTGGCTCTTGACCATTACATTTTCACTATAAAAGAGGAAAACATTTTTTACGATAAAAATATATAGGCTATAAATAAACTTAAAAAAAAAACGAAAAAACAAAAACAAACCAAAAAAAAAAACTTGATTTAATTGTTGATTGACGAGATGACTTATTTTTACCATGTGTTTTACATACACCAAAATAAGCATATATATTTTTTCAAAATTATAAAAATGAAGAAATAAAGAAAATTATATTAAAATTTAAGTATGAGAGTGCCATTTCCCGCCACCTAGAGGTGCAAAAATCATATTTTTTTTCTTTCCTCTGCCCCAATCATGGTTGGACCATTATCTTTGAAGGTCTCTCCCTTGGCCCCCCCCTCAGTTTCGAATTCCTAGATCCACCACTGGATGACACAAAATTTAGCTGTTGGTAAATAATAAAGAATATTATGTTAAAATAAATATGCGAGTGCCATTTTCGGCCATCTAGAGGTGCCAAAATCATATTTTTTTCTTTCCTCAGCCCCAACCTTGGTGGGGGCTGAGGTCTAGCTTGGCTCGCTATCTGCGATAGTCCCTCCCAGGGCCCCTCAATTTCGAATTTCTGGATCCGCCACTGGATGACACGATGTTTAGCTAACTGGTAAATAACAGTGTGCTTCGACGTTAATACAGTACTAGACTAGTTAATAGGGAATTTTCGATGCACAACGTTAACCTTAAATTTAACGGATGACGTCATAATTGATTCATCTAGCGTTATGCGGAGTACGTTAATTTCAGGATTTTACGTGCTCGACGTACGTTAATTACGGGTTTGCGCATGCGTATTTCGATTTGTTTACAAAAGGGGCGGAGCTATCGCGCTGCATGTTGGGTGCTAACGTTAAGGTTAACGTCGTGCTGCATCGAAAACTACCTAGTTAGGTAGAGAAACGGCAGCCAATGTCAATAGCAGTCAAATAGCCTCTTGCCTGTAAGTTTGATCCCATGTGCGATAATCTTTTATTTATAGTTCTAAATACATCATCTGTTTAAACATTTTACATTGTTAACAATCTTTACACTTCGAATTTTTATTTTGAGAATGTTATTTCCGAGCTTCTAGAAGTGCTAAATCTATTTTAACCTTATTCACCAATACCCATGTGTGATAATATTTGATTTCTAAAAATATATTTCTAAAAATCGAAATGCTTCGTATGTTTAAACATTTTACATTGTCAACTTATGATACTTAGAAAATCGTTACGGTAAAGTTTGAAAGTGCTATTTTGGAGCGTCTAGAAGTGCTAAATATTAATAACAGAATTGTGCATTTCTTCATAACAGCTGCTTCAACGCTGAATATAAAATGTGTTTAGATTATCATTAGGCCTATAAAAAAATAAAAGATAGGCCACAATTATAGCCTAAGGCCAAAAAGAACGAACGAACCAGCCGGCCTTCTCGCCAATCGGACGTACTCATCTGGCCCCAACGATGCTGGGGCTGAGGTGGTTTGGACCCTCAATCTGTAAAATTTATTTCGAATCCCCGAATTCGCCACTGATCTCAGTTGAATCATTGGGCAGTGAAGTGGGTTCACGAAAGTAATTAATACTAATGAAGCTTGGTTTCCATACAATCGCTACATTTTCGCTACAGTGTTTTCAGTGCAGTCGTTGTGCTGGGTAGCAGTCCCCGATTCGATCGATCAATCAGCATAACCGAAATCTGTCTGTGATAGCGTGTAGCATTTGTATGTAAATAAGCTTAATTCACTGATGTCCCCGACAGCGTGGTGAGGCGGGGGTGGGGGAAGAATTTCCCAGACGAGAGCGCTAGTGGGCGTCGCTCATACCTGGAGTTTTCGGAAAGACTTTATGACTGTCACTGTGCACCTTATGGCAATGGACCCAATTCATATTAAACTGTTATTTATTTCATCCATTCTCTTATACTCCTACTTTTAGAGTCTATATAGGGAGATAGGGAGGTCGGCCTTACCCACCAGAACCCGAAACGACACATCGGAATGACGGGATTAGTAACAGAATAACTGTAATTTTATTAACACGATAATTCCCCGATTTCCCGAATGAGAGCTTACATTTAATTTTTTGGAAAGCATTAAAGTTATATAGGGCTATTATCATTATAAGGCGATCTATTGTCTATAAATCCATGGGTTACTGTTATGACTTCGAAAATGCGTGTTAGCCAGCAATAATAATTGTGGCAGAAGTTATTAATATTCAGTTAATATTCAGTTGTTTTTACTGTCATGCTTTCATGTACTGTTGTAAGTTTTATCAGAAATCTGTAGACTATCATGTTGAGATTCTGTATAGGCTACAATACAGTTCATTGGTGGCGGATTCATGAATTCGAAATAGAAGGGGCCCAGGAAAGGACTTTCAGGGATGGAGAGTCCAGACCACCTCAGCCCCACCATGTTTGGGGCTGAGACAAGAACGTATGATTATAGCACTTCTAAATGGCCGGAATTGGCACTCAGGCCTAATTTTTATTATTATTTTTTTTTTCTAATTTAAAAAAATAATTTTTAAAAATTTGGAGGGTGGGGCGTCGGCCATGCTTGAATCCGCCAATTTTCACATTCGTATATTGATGGTTTCACAGAATCACCACAAACAGCTCGCCATAAATAGTACAATATACTCTTATGGCCTATTTTCTAGACCTATTCCACGAATTTATAAAAATAGACCTATTCCATGAATTTATAGCGAATATAAACAATACCTATATAACGTTACACTATCATTAATCACTTTAAATGAAGACAATATATAAGTCTGTAGTTACGTTCGTTCATATTTATTCGACAAAAATAGTAATTACCAAATTGGAAGACTTTGAAAACACAAACAAATATTCGAAGGTTACAAACTATTTCGAGGCAAATGTTTCATTTCCATGGTGGCGCTGTTTCCAAAAATGTTAGATTTGAATACCTGTACTTTCAACCCACATTTTGATAGTTCCTTAACCCACACATTATCAATTTTAGCGGTTATTGTCGTAAACATCCGCTTCCAGATATCCCACGATGCAGTACACAACTTCATTTGTATAAATAATACGCACACTCTCACCTACGGGGACCACTTAAAAACTTAAGGTAACACAAAAACAAATTTTATATTATTGAAAAAATGCAATACAAATCTAATTCTACCATAAATTTATGCATTTCAATAACTATTTAGCAGTCTCAACTGTCCGTGTTTTGTCACTTAAACATACAAAGTAAATCACTGATCTGATATGAATTTAGTTATTATTAATGGCTAAATACCTTAACGGTTGAGTTATAACGATTTATTTTAAAATAAAACCGCAAACGATTGTACAAGCCGCTTGTTCAGGCGACTTAACCTTTGACATGCCCCAGTTAAAGAGTCTTAAAAATTCAAATACATTAGGTGTATTCCAAAATCACATTGGGGGCCTATCACTTGTTTGTACGTCCGCCAGAATCTACATTGTGTAGAGAACACGAGGCCGTTATCAACGAGCCCAATTCACGCCGTCACACCAACCGAAAGCTCCCTTTTGAATGTTCAACCAAAGAGTATAGAACTGCAAAAAGAGGTCCGGCTGCCGTGGTTTTATTGGAACGCAATCCTATTTCAAAGAGTACTTACACAAAGGGGCGTGGCCTTAAAAGACGTTTGATGATCAGACGTGTGCTGCGTGCGTGCATGTTCGAGTTTCGAACTCTTATTTGAATTCAGGCGCCCCCTATTTAGTGGCAGTACTTTTTGAACGTTTTATTGCCTGCATACAAAATCACGGCAGTCGGATCTCTTGTAGTTTTGTACTCTTTGGTTCTTACTGTCCGCTTTCAAGTCAGGAACACCCGACAAAGACATATTAAATCAATTAGCAATAAATGTTTTAATATATAATTATGAATGAAATAGTTTTCGTCGATTCACAGACATTTTACTAGGACAATTCTTCAATTAACTACTAGTCGGGGCATTGATTAGAGTAGTTTCACTGGTTAATTATTAACGTTTTCACAATAGAATGACGATACTGTGATGTTAAGGGGTACCAATGTACAGAACATTACTTTAAGGAAAGAGAGGGCGCCACCTTCAATGCATAGTAATACTGTAGTCTTTTTATAGTAGTATACCGTAGCGGCCGAAGTTTATCGATTATCTGTATCAGTTAGAAACAAACAAACACAACACAACAACTGTAGATAGTAGTATAGTATGTACCATGAATGAAACGCACAATGACTTTATCTATTGTCAACGTAAATATCAATAGTGGAGTTTTCAAAATCTCAAAACATAACGGCATAATACACATGACACTGTATAATACATAGTTCACTTTTTCATGCGCATGCGCACTAAGAATCGATCGTTTTACGTCACGAACAGTTACAATGCGCACTTCGAACTAGGTATGGTTGGTGAATCATCGTGTAATGCTTACGTTTAGATTTTGGAAAACTATCTAAAACGCTTTCTACACTTCAAGTTGTATGTGACAAACCTGTAATTTACCCGTGTGAGTAGGATGAAGTCATGTCACACCCATATGGACAAATCACAGAAATTTGTTGCATAAAAGTTTATCGTGTGAACAGCTTAATGGAAGACTGAAAGACTTAAGACCAGCCAACTTGTTTCCCATTTGGCTGTCACCAACAAGGCACATCACATGTTTTGGTCATAATTAAGGACACTTTGGTTTAAATGAGTCTGCATTTTCGAAAAATGTTAATCATTCTGCTTTAACGTCTATGACCAACTTCCATATTGAAACACGGTTGAAAATAGATAAAGCAGGAAAAAAAAAATAAACGATCCAAGTAGGCCTACTGCATGTTGAAGACGCTGTTGTATCGTCTGCACTTGTCACCATTCAACCAGGGAGGTATAAAAAACATTTTGATAGTTCGTTTTCCCATTTTACAATACGGTAGGCCCACATTAACACGGTTTTTGTCGCAGACCCCTTAAAAGACAACAATAACAAAATGTTGCCTCTTCTGGAGCAGTAACGATGACTTCATGATGGAACAGTAATGACGTCACTGTACTACAGTACTTTTGACTGCATTATGCTAATGGACACAGCGACCGTGGTGCCAGCTAATCAGCTGAAAATGTCAAACGCTGAGTTAGCATCAATGCGAAAAAAACATTTGATCCATACATCCGGGCCATTGCCCAGCAACATTCATTGATGATTTGTATTACCGATCCTTGTATATAAGTTTTTATGGTTAAAAAGTACATTTTTTGATCCCACGCAAATTTTTCATAGATTCATCGGTGAATTACAAATCTTGTTCGAATTAATCACACAATTGTTCTTCATAAACAAAACAATAACGTATTATGTTCTACTATAGAAATTATAAAGATGACAATAAGGAATGTTATTCTTCCTCCCCCGCAACAATTGGTTTCAAACTTGGTGGCGGATATCCAAACATTATAAAGTCAACCAAATATTTTTCTACTAATTGCTGGAGATAATACAAAGAAACGGAACTCATCTCATCGCTAATCTTTTGTTGCGTTGTAGGTTTGTACCATCTTTGTCTTTGAGGGAAAAACGTGTCGCTCTCGGCGCCTATCGTTTTCAGAACTTCGTTTGCGTCTACACTGAGGTACTCGAACGAGCCTATAAAATCATAATTGACCGCGCACGGTTGACATAACTCGTTCATTGGTCGCCAATGCATATCCATATTTGATGTGTCCGTATCTAACAGATACCTAATAAACTCTTCGAAAGTTACGTCATCACCCTTAACATCATTATTTACGTTCTTTCGATATTTTCGTACAATCGGCACGCCATATCGTTTATGGAACGACACTATATTCTCCCTGAATTTATTTCTGTATGCAGAGACTAGCCTTGCTATTGGATTTCGTACGAACATGAATTTGAAGTACGTTTTTAACTTGATATCAATCTCTTCTTGACTAAATGAGTCTAAAAAAACTAAATCTTTCTTATGGTCCATCTTTACTTCTGTGTTTATATCGGTCAGACTGCCCTGTATGTATTTTATTACACGTTTCCAGTTGGAGCACGCCACTTTGGGGACGTAACAATATAAAAACTTGCGCTGTTCGTCGACTATTATTTGGTGAAAGACGGTATCTGGTTCTGCCAGCTTCCAAACATCGCCCCTAGCAGGATCCCCGGCACACATAGTGTGCAATGTTTTATTGCGCATGCTCCGTGTTAACTGGAAGACAAAATATCAGAACACACATTAATCAACAAAAACCATTTAAATGAATACCGTATTCTTGGTTATAATTTAGAAAATTCACTGAAACACCTACCCCCACCCCATAAAATGAATATATCCTCTTTAAATTTGTAATGTCTTACTTTTAAATTGGCTTAATTTAATTTGTTTAATCCACTTTCATAAATTAACTTTTAATTTCATTTTTAATAATTTAAATAAAACTCACAAACTTAAACAAACCAAGGTATTCTCACACCTGTTCACACAGTACAAAAGTTTCGATAGAGACCTATAAAATGGAGGGTTGGCATAGAGGTTTTCAATTAAATTCATTGCTACTTGAACCATTTCTATATATTGTCCACAACAACAATGAGACAAGCGTTTGGTACAAAACATCACCCAAAACAATGGACCTTCCCGCTTAAGCCCGACCCCTTGCATACTGCTGCTCCCACAAGCCAACAGTGTAAAAACATACACAGACCACTGATCTCTACTATGGCTATGTTCTCACACGGCTGCTAACGGTTAGCAGGATCCGGATCCTGCTAAACGTTAGCTGCCATGCGTCCATACGATAAAAATCCTGATCCTGCGTGACAACGCCCGATCGGTTAGCGCTAACCGTTAGCAGTATCCGGATACCGCTAACGGTTAGCAAGCGCTATCGCTTAGCAAGTTGGGCGCGATTTTATCATCAACAAATCACACGTACGTGTTTACAATTTCCAGTTTCTTATTGGCCGGTGATCCGATCATCATATTTTTGGTATCCGGATCGGGATTTTCTCGTATGGACGCACGGCAGCTAACGGTTAGTAGGATCCGGATCCTGCTAACCGTTATCAGCCGTGTGAGAACATAGCCAATGGCTCTCGTGAGAACCAGGCTATATGCTAATTATAGTAGAGATCAGTGACGCAGACACGTGCGTACTTCGTCGGACAACGCGCGTATTCCTGATCCTGTTCTGATTGGTCAGTTGTTTAATTTGATTGACAATACTACTGATGAGAAATTCTGATTAAAATCTAAGAGCTCCTTTTCAACATTAAGTGAAAAGAAGCCCATTAACATTCGTTTCGTTTAATTTTGTTCAGTGGTGTTGATCTGGTTTCTACATCTGATTTCTGTAACCGACATTGTCATCGGATTTTTTTTTTTTTAGCAGGAAGTCATAGTAAACAACAATGTCTCAATTGCTTTGTTTTGAAAATTCACGGAAAATTCCGTAACGATTGTAATAGATCTAAATAGAGAACAGATTTGATAAAGCGAAACACATAACAATAACCGAAAACAACACATGATCGGAAATAATTATTTTAAAGTTGCCTTTACACTTTATGACAATCCCAAGTACCGGTACAGTCAAATTGTAAAGGTCAATGTGCGCGCGCGTCCAGATGGGCAAACTTCATGATTTTTATATTTTCAAAAAGGACAGGCGGGTGAGTGTGGCTTGAAATTAATGTTCATCATGCCAGGCTATGAATGTCACTTTAATCCAAAATGCAAAAATATATTTTCGAATTCAAGTCATTTTACTTCGATCCTTTTGTTAGTCAGTAGGCCTATTGTAGTTTCAGTTTGATGAACTTATAGGCCTACAGCACGCATGAGGCCATTGAACACGTTTAGTAAGGTCAAGGTTGTTCAGATATTGCAGAGAGTAAACTGTTACCGTACGTTGTATCTTTTTTATGGTCTATCTTTACTTCTGTGTTTATATCGATCAGAGTTTATATGTATATATAAAAGAAAGATAAATGCAGTGTTCAGAAAAGAAAGGTAAATACAGTGTTCAGATAAAGGACGTGGTACATCGTGTACAATAGCTCTTAACGAATGTTTTCCTATAAATAAATAAAAAACATTGTGTAATAAAATCCTCTGACGGAAGTTGAACCTGCGACCTCTCTTGTCAAGGCGATCGTCATAACCATTATACCACAGAGGCTTCATGGTTGAACAGATTCAAAATACTGCCAGATACACTCTATTACACAATAAGTACGGCTAGAAATAAATAATAGCAGCATATAATGTAAATCAAGATAGTCGTTAACACTTTTAAATATAATTTTATTTATAGGCCTAATTCTTTTGTAATTTTATATATAATTTAAAAACACGTTATCTCGTCGCTGTAGGACGGCCATATCCGCTAGGCGAAAGCCCGTCTTGTGACAAGAGACCATTTTACTTCAGAACCACTCAATGAGTATAATATCGATCGATCGAATCACGGAAGTCTGCTGTCGCACAATTAAACTACTTATGAATATCATATCATACATGAATTAAGTACGAAACTCCTATATTGAATTTTATGTTCTCCTTTTGCAGGTTAATAAATAAATTTAATATATTTTAATGGACGAGCACGGGACAATTGCTGAGAAATCCGAAAACCTATCCTAGCCTACAATAAGTTCTACCTTCTAAGATATTGCTAGAAATTCGACTTGTAACATATCAAATAAATTCGGTGAACAAACTACAAAAAATCCCTTCACAGATTGTGATAGTACATCAATATATTAAAATAAATTAAGCCGGTTCAGAATGAGAATAGAATTACGATTGACACTGCAACCAGGGCACTTCAATGACATGTCGTGACATACGTGTAGCTTACCGGTGTCCACGGCGGTAGTTATCAGTGGCGGATCCAGGAATTCGAAATACAGGGGGCCCAGGGAGGGACTTAAACAGGCGGAGTCGGAGGGTGTAGACCACCACAGCCCCACCATGGTTGGGGCTGAGGTAAGAAGAATTTTATGGCACCTCAAAATGGCAATGAACTTGGCCTAATGGGGAAGGTAAATGTAATGGTATAGTAACCCACCACATAAAAAAGGCATAACATCCATAAAATAACCACGCGATAGTCTTACAAACTTGCTTGATTTTTACAAATGTTGATAAAAATTTAAAAAATTATTTCAGGCCAATATTTTACAGGGAGGTATGTATCCTTAGCGAATAAGCCTACTCTTAGTACTATACATAGTTTTAACTGGGACAAAACACAAGTAATTTACCATGTTGCGTATGCCGATGCATCGTAGTGTACTGGGTCATGGTTAGTTCGTACTTTATTGGTACCCGGTACCGGTAGCGTATGCATACTGTACGCGTACTCGTACCAATATCCGTATCAAATTCCGGGGTGCGAAAGATTCGGTTACCGTTTTACCGAGAAAGGTACTGTATACACATTTTTCAATCACATCTAAACCTCGTCCTAAATAGTAACCCTATGTAAGGGCCAACATATAGGCTAAGTACATAGACTTGCCTGGCTTACCTTAGCCTCTTTTAGATTACCAGGATCTACAGTAGGCCTTGTCTTCGCTGGAATGATGTGCTTAGTGTTATGGCGGCCTACAGTTTCCGGAATATATACAAGATAGTAGGTACTGATAGTTACCACTCCAATCAGAAGCAACACATACCATTTAAAAAATGGCCGCGTTCGAAGGTGAATAAGAGTCATTTCTTTGCTAGCAGAGGATGTCTTGTACGAAGGAAAGCACCATGGTTATGTTTGCAGTTATTAAACATGTAAACAATCAAACAATGCATGGCCTTTTCCCAATACTAAACAGTAAACTTCACTTAGGGCTTGTATTGAGTACAGTATTAGAGTACTTGAAATCGTCGTCGTAGGCTCAAACACTTTCACATTTCGGTTAACTTAACTGACATGATCGGAAGTAGACTCCGGCAACTATCTCCTTATTTCCTGGCTTATATGTGCCATAAAGCTAAAATCAGATCCTCAATCGTTACGTATGTCATCTCCATGCAACCGGATCGGTATAAACACTGTGTTTTTGGTACACACAACTGTGATGAATGATTACGTAATATACTGGTTCTAACCATTCCAAACAAAAACATCAATGTCGGCATGTAGAATAAATTGATGAGCGCTGGGAGAACACTTGTATGCCTTTTTGAAAATTCACGATGTAGATGACAGTGCAACCTACTATTACCTCTGTCGACACTTACGATGCACTTTGCCCGATCTATTTATCAGTCTGCATATAATAAACAATGATCATTCAGACGGGTAAAACCAAGTGACATTAGCGACGCAATGAGCTAGACCTCATGAAATACCATCCACAAGCGGCAACTAGAATAAACTCACAAGCAACACAGGCGTGAGATTAGTACATTTACTTATTCCGCAATGGTATATCTGACAACTATTTTATTTACCGCTTGGATGGATTTAGAGGTGAAAGAGAACATAAACAGCAACATCACACGCCTTCATTCGGTTATAGGCCAAACGATTTGTTGCGGAAGAACACTTATTGCATATACCCAGGATCTCTATTACGTCCAACCTCTGACAAATGAAAGAAATATTATAGTGTACACGAAACACAGAACAACTCCCCGTAAGTTCATTTGCACCAAGACATACAAGGTTAAGTACCGTATTCCCTGTTTATTATGACTCAGTTTTCGACACACTAGATGAGAGCCAAATGAAGACGCAACAAACGAATTGGGTTGTTTGAGCATGGACCAAGTGGGTCCTCCAGCTTTTTACTTCTAGCGCAACCCGTGAATGATCGTTGAATGTTAAAATGATGTTTTATAATTGCAACGCTTTCAGCTGTTACCAGTAACAAATGGATGATAATTCATGTGTAAGCCCAATGGTAGAATCGAGTCACCACTTGTAATGCTTCAACAATAGAAATGTTCTCAGGGGAGTATTCAACCAATTCAAACTTTAAATTATTAATGTGGATCTTTTGCGATATGATGTTTTGATTAATATCGAGTCTAAATATTGATTCATGTAAGGTCCATTGTTGATTGGCTTTGATACGGCCAGTAAATTGATACGCGCTCGCGCGTCAAACGTGACGAACTCAAAGGGATAGAGAGCCACTTGAATATCGTAAGAGATAGACGATTACCAATACTGTTTGCTATTAAAATATGAATAACCAATGAGTAGACCTGATTGTCCATGGAATAAATAGGGCCTACCCACGTCACAAGAACAAACATATTTAAATAGGCCTACTAAAGTACGGAAAATATACAGAGCCTTCCGACTTTGGAGTATTTGCGCCCAGAACTGAACAAATCCTATTTTAGATTAGAGACCTTCCAGATATAAATTCGATTATTGAATTGGGGTATTCGAGTATAATAAGCACAGAAACTCCGAAGTTTTTTTTAACGAAAAATTCAGAAATTGGATTGATTTGCAGCAGCTCAGAATCTCCAAAATCTAAAAATACCAGTAACTTCATAATGTAAAATTAGTGGGCGTGTAGTATCCTTCCGTTCTAGCTGGTAATAAAACACAATAACAAGGATGCACTACAGAGAATTCGCTAAGAGCGGAAAACATTTACTGCATGGAAAAAAAAACACTCAGTCAAGAGGGGTCTTAATGGAAATGCGTTAATTGTTTGGAAATTGTACTGTAGTGTATAAAACCAAATTATTAACAAACACGACATTTGGATGCAGGACGTATCTCGGAAAATCACTTTTCCCTTCGGTGACTACAATAGACTATATTATTGTAAACAGTGAGAACAGGGCCAAGGCCAGTCAGGAGCAAATACGGCGTCAGCCAAATAAGTCAGGAAAAATTCAACAAAAATTTAGATTTTTTTCTTATTTTAAACAATCAAATATTAGTAAGTTATTAACTTATTAACCAGAAACAGATGGAAATATGTGTTTTTGCTAACTTATTAAAAATGATTTACCGTACCATCTTTGAATTGATTATAAGCCTTGGAAAGGATATGGAATTGGTGCGTTTTTTAGATGCCGAACAACTATTTGTTTATGGTCTATATCAATTGAATGGTAATAAATAACTTATTTATATTTACAGAGTGGGCAATATAAATATTGATGGTTTTTTTTTTAAATTTCGTATAGCGTATTAGGTCAATAGAGTGTTTAATTATAGCATTGTGTATACAACTGCCTGCACTGAATAAGCGAACTCAAACTAAAACACTTGATGTCTTTACGTCACAATTTAATGTGTATTAAATTGCATGCACTGCACTGAATAAGCCAACTCAAACTGAAACACATTATGTCTTTACGTCACACTTTAATGTGTATACAGTACAATTGAATGCACTGCACTGAATAACTGAAACACGTGATGTTTTTACGTCACACTTTAATGTGTATACAATTGAATGCACTGCACTGAATAAGCCAACTCAAACTAAAATACATGATGTCTTTACGTCACACTTTGGGGATTCCCACAAAAATTAGTTCTAATCGCGAAAACAAAAAGCGTGCATTTATGAATTTTAATCGTATTATTTCTGGCTACAGTTCAAATAATCTGGGTTGGAACTGGAAAACACTCATCGCGAATGCCTATTATCTATCTGCCATGAGAGGGCGCGATACATGTCCTTCCAATATTGTGACAATACAGTGACGTGTCAGTTTTTCGTCTGCTTACTGAAATCTACACTAATTACATTTTCATTCAAAGACACATATGGTCTTGTCAGTTGTAATTATCTTCTGATTAACCCATAACGTAAGATATAGGTCAGATTCGCTGCTTCGTCACATTTGTTTGAAAAAAAACAACAACAAACACACATCGTCTTTTTTTTTTCACCACGCAAAATTTAAAATCCAATTAATTGAAATAAGACTTGCATTAAGCCAGGCCTATCGAAGATTGTTATAACATGTTATACCTCCGTGGTTATGATAAGCCTACTTAAAACATGGCAATATTTTTGAACGATTTTTAATTAAAATAACAGCAATAATAATTGTTTTTCCTGGTTTTACACTGTTGTGTTTTTGTCGTTGTCTCCAAATATTAATAAAATTATCATGCATCCAACTAACGAACTTCAGTTCTGGAGGAGGAGTGGCGAATTCCCGTTGGACAGGCAGTGGTGGCGCAAGATTTGCCCGACGGGGTTCCGAGGTCCACGACCGGGGTGGGCGGGGCGATGTCCCGACGAAAAAATAAGTGGGCGTGGTTGGGCGTCGACAATTTAAGGGCTTTTCTAAGACTTATTTAATCGATTTTGGAGTCTACTAATAGTTTTGGAACAAAAATTAATCTTAATTTGTCCAAAGCGTTATTTTGATTGCCAATCCTTAATACTGTCATCTAAAAACACAAATTTAGGTCATATTAAGCCATAAAAACTCGCCCCATGAACCCTACCCAGAGATAGTTATTATTCCGAATCCTGAATAAAGGCTCTGGTCGGCCCCTTGGTACAGGCCACGTTATCGGACACGTTTAACCCCCTGTCGGCAAATTCCTTGAGCCATCAATGTTTTAGAGGAACACAATGATAGGTCAGAATTTTAAATAAGATCATGAGTGTGAACCCAAGCACGAGTGTAGTTTTGAAAATTGTGTAAAATTTAGTTTTATTCAACAATGGCCAATTCACTGGCATAATTTCCTGCTTAAATTAGATGTAAAATAGATACGAAAGCGATAGGTTTTATTTTTATTATTATAATTTAAAGCGTTCATTATCATGAGATATCTTCTGACGAGCGACTGGGGAATACGTGCCATTATCGGCGTAATGATCCTCATTTTGTAACGTTTTCAGTGATGTTAGAGAACGGTATAAGCATATTTATAATTAATATTAATTTTTAACGTTGGCGATTCAAATATTTTTCTGTAAAAACAATATAATTGGACATTTTGATTCTCAGGGTATATTACAAAAGCAATAGCAATACTATTACCATAAATAATGTTGATGCAACGCAGGTTACGACATAGCTGTTAAAATACAATAAGTTAGCCTACTTTTTAACAACTAGGTCCAGACCTAGAATGTTATTTACTACAGTACTGCGAATTTCCAAGCTACATATCGTGATAACATTTTCACATTATAGAGAACTTCAAATAACTGCGGTCTGTATTACTAATTGGACTCCTATAATTATTAACCACGGGGTTGTTCACCGATAAGTTTGATATATGCCAATGCAACTGACTTTAAAGAAAGTGATGCAAGTTGTCAAAGACATTTTATGAGTTTTTTCAACATGTTTATGTCATTTGTGCGCATATCCGTGAGCATATAACAGAACTTAAAAAAAACACTCGATTTTCAAGCACACCATATTGGCGTTCCATATAAAAATAACATTAATACCTCCAAGGTCATTGTTAACATTCATGAGGTTGGGTAAGCTGGTATCAGCTGTTACATGGCAGTCCTGCTAAAAAATAATGACACGTCATATAATATAATGTCACATAAGGTGACTGATGAAGCTACGTTGGCAAATGACGAAAGCTGGCGTGTGAGTTAATGTAACAGCTTTCGCTTTGTATTATTATAATATAAGAGAACCTTATTTAATCAACAATATGAAATCAACAGATAAAAGTATTCTACCAACTGATGTTGGGACGATAGCAGTTGGTAAATTTATTTCTACCGACGTACTGTATCTACTACGTCCTTCCCAGGAATATACTGTAGCCTACACATTTATAGGCTTAAAAATATGTAAATGTATTGTATATTAAATTATGTAGGCCTCAAAAAATACCTGAAACATTCAATTACAGTACTACACAGATGTACTTATTGAAAAAGGTCATAAGTTACCAACATCCTTCAAACGAGACGAGATACCGTTAAACGATTTTTTTCTCATTCAAATCAATATTAATATTATGTGTTTTATCTTTCTGTATTTTGTCTGCAATGGAAGAAAATAAATGTCATATTAAATTGAATTGAATTCGGTTTTCGAATATTTAGGCGCTTAATAAATATTACTACGAGCATCCTTTAACTGGCGAGTTAAGATTCTATGCAAATAATTAGTCAGTAAATTTTCCAGGAAACTAGTTCTTGTTCGAATTTTCAATTGAAATTAATATTGTAATAACAACATCAAATCTTAACGCAGATTTTATATCTTTAATTATTATATAATTTATGAGTACCGATTTCAATTTAGATCTACATAAAGCAGGTTTTTATAAGGCATATATAAACACAACAGGATGCAATAGAAGTCTGACTTGGCCTGTATTTACTTGCGTATCACACTCATCCGTTCAGAGTAGTTGTCAAATTATTGTTTACACTGTCATTTTCACTAATTAAATGACATTTTGACCTTCTTTGTTGGAATCCTAGATTTCGTTAAAAGGGAGCTTCGATTTGTGCGACGACGCGACCCTAGAACGGAATCACTCATGCGTACTACGTTCTCTGCATACGTAGATTTGTCCAAATTTTTAATAGACCGGGAGCCGGCCCAGAAAATTGAATCATGTGAAAAAAGACAAAAGGTTTGATGGTCTGGTC